TACGTGGGCACATCTCAGATGCATGGCAGTTTGTATTTGTGTGTGTGTGGTACTGCCATCTTAGCACTAGTCAAAACAGAACACTTGTGGTGTCCTGGAATTTCAGATCTGGAAAATGAAAGTCCTCTCTGGTGATTTTATTCCCTGAGATTTATCCAAGGCAGCAATGAATGATCCGTGCTTAGCTAAGTTTAAGTCAGTGCTGAGATTTTATAGTCAAGTCCACAAAGGTTGAAAAAAAGCCTGATATTGATCTCTTAGCATAACACTGCAGCTGTATTAGTTGTGTTAAACACAGCCCATTCTCTCCCAGGTCCAGCCTGAATGGCAGCAATTGCTTACTATTGCAGGCATTTTGCACCAGGCTACCTTTGCCTGCCCCTTTCAATCGCTGATGGCAAAGGGAGCTCTGTGGAAAGCTTGGCAGTCTGGGACAGAACAGGGCTGGCTTTGCTTGCTTCTCTCTGCAAGAAAACTATTTGTCAGAGTATTTTTATGTGAGCAGTTGTTCTACTGGGTGACAAAATATTCTATCTTGGCTTCTGAATGGGAGATAAGAGTTTATTGCTTTAAAACCTGTTTAAAAAAATAGACATGCATCTCCCTGTCCCCGGGAAATCCAACTTTAAGTGACCTAGTGCAATTGGACTCCTTCCACTGCTGTTAAAAATTCAGGTTCAAGCACTCAGGACAGTGTAGCGTTTGCTAGAATGACATGCCAGTGATAATCACACAGTGTTTAACAGTAATACTGTGTCTAGGCTATTTTGCTGATTTGTTTTTCCAGAGTAAATTAGTTCTTTCTGAAATCATACAGGAAATATTGGTTAAATTAATTTTACTGGGTGTTCATAAGGTTATCGCATAGGAAATTATTTTATGAACAGTGTTGAGTAATATTGAGACAGAGGCAAAATGGAAATGTTCTTCTGCTTCCTCCCTGTGGTATATTCTTAGGAGGAGGTCATATGGAGGTTCTGGTGTCTCAAGAGTAATTTAACTCGTTGGAGCTTTGATACCAATCAGAAGAAGCTTGAAAGGGAAAAAAATGCATAGGAAATTAGTCTTTTTATGGCTTAGTTTTAGACTGGAGTTTTAAAACAGAAAAACAAACCTGTGTAATTTCCATCAGTGTCTTGATATGTGGGCAGCAGCTTTTAGACAGAAATCAGTGCTTAAATAATGAGTAACATCACTTCTTCTGCCTTGGTGAGGCAGACACAAGGACAGCACAGGAGGTGCTAGCCAACAGGGCAGTGGCAGCAATGAAACAAAGCAGCACAGATCCAGCAGCAGTCAAGGCAATGCTGCCATTGCTGTGGGCACAGGAACACAGACTGCTCACGTTTGTATCCTCTCCTTGCCGAGGAGGAGCAGAGGTTGTTGGGCCAGGCTGCTAACAGAAGCTGTTGGCTTGTGCAGGTGTGGATGATGGTGAGGATATCCCACGGGAAATGCTGATTGGGATCTACGAGCGAATCCGCAAGCGAGAGCTGAAGACCAATGAGGATCATGTGTCCCAGGTCCAGAAGGTGGAAAAGCTCATCGTAGGAAAGAAACCGGTGAGTTCACTTGGCACGGCCTGCCAGGGACTAAGGAGCTGCAGGGCAGTGTACAGGGTAGAATAATACAGGTGTATTGCTTAGAAGTATGAATTGGTTGATAAATGGCAAAGGGAAGAAACTGTTGAAATAATAATTTGCTATAAGGTTGACTTAAATTCTGGAGCATTCACAGTGCAGGTGAATGTTCTTGTTGCAGTCTGGTAATCATGGTGATGATGGTAGGAGTCTTAAATTCTTTTCTCTATGTGAAGCTTTACAATTCTGAAATTACACTGAAATATCTGCATTTTAGGCAGGTCTCTTGTTTATTTCAAATGAATTGTTTTGTTCATGTGATGTTGTAGAGAATCATATTTTAAAATTGACACTGTCAGTTATGGCTCCATAATTTACAAGCGTAATAAAGAACTTCTGTTCACATCAGCTTCTTTCTCAGCTCTGCAGCTCCACTATGACCTAATATTTGTAAGGAGAGATGGTCCCATTTTGTCCCAACATATCTGGAAATCAGATCCCAGGGATTCTAGTGCTGGGTTTGAGCACCCAAAGATAACCCTTTCTTTGTTGTGGGGAAAAGTCCTGAAATACTTTGCTCTATAAATAAATCTTCTAAGCATCTGATGGAAAAGGAGAGAGAAAAGAAGGGCCACAGCATTTTGCCTTCGATGTAGGAGCTGAGTGAACACAGAGGTATCCAGAGCAGTATTCTACATGCTGACAATAATATCTAACATGGAGAGGGACAATGGATGCTCAGCTTTCCTGAATTCAAATCTGCATGGCAGGAGTCACAAAGGCAGCCCAGAACAAAGCCAAGAAAAGACTAGACTTGCACATTTTTGAAGTCATACATCAGATTTTTATCAGCTCTGGGAACTTTACTGCACAGGGTCTGAAGGGCTGGGGGATTTGTTCTTAAGGAAAAGAACTTGGATCTCGAGATTCTCCCTATTCGTTTTAAAGAGCTTTGAGTTGTAATCTCTTCTCAGACAAACCTCAACGCGAGGAGAGGGGGAAGGGAATGAGGGACCACCAAAACATGTAATTTCTCTCTGTTTCTCAGTAAGGAGAATGCTGAGGAGACCTCTTCAGAGAAGCAGAGGAAAGAGGAAGCAAAATCTCCTTAATAAAAGCTTTTGCATAATTTTGAGAAGGGAAATAAATTTCCAAAGTCATTATTTGACAGTCACTTATGCTTTCATATGAAACTTCTTTTCTGTAATGGCTTGGGGATTTAGGTTTATATATAGGCTTCTGTGGGTGATGGTTTTTTCCATGATTCTTTTTTTATTAAGACATGTGGCAATTCAAATCCTAAAACTAATCCTGACCTTGTAAATTAAATGGGATTAAGAAAACAATGCCCTCAATGGAGTCTTGAGTTCAAGGATTCTTCAACTGGGAGACTTTTTAACTGTGTGCAAGGAAATTTAGGGAACAGGCAACAGTGTTTATTGATAGCTCTATTTGTTTTTACTTTATAGGCATTTAGTCATAGTCAGACCTGACGTGTTTACTTGCTATGATACAATACTGTGTTTCTCTGAAGTTTAACGAACTTGTATATGTCTTTCTACTGTAGATTGGATCTCTGCACCATGGACTTGGTTGTGTAGGTATTTCTCTCATACTCCTTCAAAATTTACAGTCATTGCAACTGGCAGCATTTTCTTAAACTGGCAATAAGGCATTCTATTTCATTTTTAAATTTTAAATAATTGCTGTTCTTTCAAGCAAGTTTTTCTTAGTGTTGTAGTAATAACTCTCCAAAGCATAAAGATTTAGTACAAATATACTTCCCAGAGGCTGCTGAATTTGTTGCCAAGAGTTTTCTAGACCTTTTCAGTACATTTTTTATTCATTTCAAATGCTGTTATCACTGTAGAAATCAGATAGCCAGTAAAGAATAAACAAATAAGTAAAATCACAGCTGCATCTCACCTTTCCACTGGGCCCTGGTGTGCTTATTCCTTCTGGTCTGTTTCAGAATTGAATGATACTCTGGAAAGATACTGCCAGTTAATTTCAAAGTTCTCTTCTGAAAGGTAGATGAACATAGAAAATATTGATTCCAGATTTCAGTTATAGGCACATTCAGTAATAAACCCAAAACTATTCTTATGATGCAGTTCCTTATGGATTTCTTATGGATTGTTAGCAAGATCACATTGTTTGCATTTGAAAAGGATTAAGTTGAGAGCAGCAGTGTCAGAGGTGGCTTCAGCAGCCATTCCAAACAGGAATGTGGAAGATTAGTCTTGATTTTCTTGCTGGCATGAGAAAACAAGACAGACTTGAAATGCATTTACTTTGTCCTGATGTCACCATTTCCTTGGCATTGGGGAATGAACAAATGGAATTAGCTCAGTGACTGACAGAAAGCAACACAATATCAGTGTATTCATCTCCCAAAACCTAAAGTTACTTTGCATCCTTACTTCTAATAAGATGTAAAAATGCTTGTGGAAGCAAACATGCTTTGCTTTGAGCTCTCAAATTCTTTCAAGGTTTTAGCATTTCACAAAGTACAACTGTATCCCCAGTAAAAATTCCATTGGCATCCATACCCAGGAATGCAGGCTGTTAGAGAGGATTTCATAGAGCAGCTCCGATGAAGTTTGAATGTCATGCAAGTTTGTGGCATATAAATCTTTATGTTCCTGTTGTTGGTCCTTTGGTGAAAAAGTTTAATGGGCTTAGAGGTAAAAAAAAATTGAAGTATTAAAAAAAAAGAGTATGAAAGATGTTCTTTCTTGGCTAAACATTGTTATATTAACCACAAACTTTTGTGTTGCCCTAGGTGCTCTCTCTGCCCCACCGGAGGCTTGTTTGCTACTGTAGACTGTTTGAAGTCCCAGATCCCAATAAACCTCAGAAGCTTGGACTGCACCAGCGAGAAATATTTTTATTTAATGATCTTCTCGTGGTATGTATTTCCAGTCAGAGATGCTTCCAGTGAGGCAGTCAGAAATCCTATCTCCATGAAATCATTGGCAATCAAGTACATGAGCAGTCCTAAAAATAAATATCTATTACCTGTTTCTCTGCACTCAACAATCTTGGGATGATTAAGAGATGCAAATCGTAATTTTCTTAATTCTATACAATTTGCTTTTATTGATTGCTACACTCTTTTGTAAGAAGGTATTTGATGCAATAGCTTTTACTGTAGAGAAGAAAAAGTCACCTCTAGGTTACCCATTTCCCTAATGGATAAACAGAGACATTTGTTATTCCATGAATAATGAGTTCAGGGTACTTGTGGAACACCAAAATTACATACTACTTTGTATTCCCCAGATTGTTCCATAAATCAGATCTGTTTATGGATTAAAATGGGAATAGAATATGTTGAAATAGATTTTACAGTTGACTTTAATTTTTGTGTGCACTTATCTTCACAGACTTTAACCTGAACTAGTCCTTTGAAAAGCAGACTTACAAAACTAGTGACAGCTTGCAATTATTTGGTTGATTTACTCTTAAAAATAGGAAAATTTGTTGCACTCTATTTGGAATGTATTTGGCTGTCACCTGAGAACTAAGAACTAAATATTTAATATTTTGTTATGAAAAAGGCACAGTTTTATAGTGGGTAATTTTGACAGACCTTCAGACCTTAAAAAAATCCTTTTGATTATGAGTATAACCTCCTAGTTGTAAATGTGAGCTTGAGTGTGAACTGATGGAACATTGTTACCTTCAGTTTGCAAGTTTCTGTCATTTTTTATTACTTACTCAGATGTCAGTGGTTTTATCAAACTGTTTGGGGACTAATATGGACCAAATTTGTCAGTTCTAGTAAAGTGCCATCACTAAAAGTGAAAATTAAGAAGAACTGGTAAAAATAAACCTCTTTGTTCTAAAGCGAAAGAGCAGTTGCATTCACACCTTAGGAGAACCCCAATGCTGATGGTCAGAATTAGTATGTTAGTTCCATTGTGGCAAAAAGTCAAGGCTTTCACACTCAGAGCTTTTATTGTGTCAGATACTGTAAAAGTCAGAGGCAAAGCAGTACCTCAGTGGCTGAGGTGGTGTCAGGCACTGCTTGGAGGAGCATGGAAGTGCAGCAGGATTGGGAGGTCACAGCATGTGAGTATAAGGGCTAAGAGCCAAATTCGTGTGGAAAGGTCCTACCTGCAGTTAGACTGTAAGAAAAAAGCACAAAGGAAAGTGTGGTGGGAGCTAAGGGGGATTTTAATTAATTTCAACATATTTTTTCTAGCATGTGCAGTACACAGTAAGGAATTTCAAGGAGTTCCAGAGAGTAGAGGACAGAAAGGCTTTGTGTCTGGATAAAAGATTAACCCTTCTGCTCAAGAGATATGGTGCTTCAGAGCTGGTTTAATTTCTTCACAAGTAGACTAAATACATCAGTTGCATTAAAGAGTAAAAATTCCAAGTGCATGTTTTCTGTAGATTATAGCTTTCTTTAGCATAAGAGCTTTTCTCCTATGCTAATTCTTTAGGGCACTTATTTTCCACACACACAAATGGTAAAAGGGATATTTCACCTTGTCTATTTGATAACTTGCAGGTGACCAAGATTTTTCAGAAGAAGAAGAACTCAGTTACATACAGTTTTCGGCAGTCGTTTTCCCTCTATGGAATGCAAGTCCTTCTCTTTGAGAACCAGTGTGAGTATTTCCTCTCCTTTTACATGACCATTTTGTTCATAAATAAAATTAAAATGGTGTAAGTGAAAGGGATGGACAGGACTTGATTCTGAGTTTAGGAATAAAACTGCTCTGATTTTAATTTAGCCCTAAAGTTTAAAACAAGATGCTGTCAGCATACAGAACAGCAATGCTCCTCTCAGAGTTTTTCAGTTGTGTCACAGAATACCTTGAGCTGCAAGAGACCCATAAGGATCATCAAGTCCAAGTCCTGGCCCTGTATAGGACATCTCCCAAGCATCTCACCATGTGCCTGAGAGCATTGTCCAAACAGTTTTAGTTGTAGTTTTAGCTGTAGTCAGAAGCCAAATCTACCCAAACATGTTGTTTGTGAGTACTTGTAAAGAACAAAATGTTTGTCAAGAAACAAACATATCTGTTGCTGAGGCAGTGGTACAGTTAGCTGGAACTGAGTGATAATAAATAATGACTATTATAATGATATGTGTAATTCAAAACACTACTTATTTTCCTGATTTATGTCTTTGCCTAGGTAATGTATATTCACTCAACTATAAACACGAAGCAGACAGTCTGGATTCAAGCTTGTATTTTCAGACACCTTTTGTTTGCAAACTGCATCAATCCACTATTCATTTTGTCTTTAATGCTTCTCAAGCTCACTCTTAGCAGACAAAAACCCAACAAAAAACCAAATAGTTTGCTAATGTTCTGCTTTTAAGCCCAAAGACAGCATCAGTACTAACAGCAGTCACAGTTGTTTGTTTGGCACATAGGGACATAGCCTGACCTGACTTCTTGGTTTGTAAACCAAACCTGCACTGTCCTGATGCTTTGGATAGAGTCCAGTGTGACACTGCCACACTGCTTTGCTGCTGTGGAAAGCTCTTAGTTTTCCTTTGTCCTTGAGAATGTGCTCCAAGGCTCATCTCACTCAAAACAAGTCACTGAGTCAAAGACTCTGGAGATTTCCAAAGGGAAGATTTTGCAGAGCTTATAGCAGCTCTGTAGCCTGCAGATTATTTATATGCTTACACATTCATTCTCTCTTGTGCACACATTCTGTGATACAAAATTCAGTCTTGCAAAGGAAGGCCAAGGTCTATCCTGGATTCTACTAAAAATAGAAGAATATATAATTCCTCTGATGTCAAATTAAATAAAAGATAAAAATATAAATATCTCCTAAGCATGCTAAGTAGAAACACCATTCACATGAACTTATTTATAGTGCAACAAGGAGGAAGGGGTTGGATTCCTCCCAGGAAACTGCAGGCAATATAACTGAGGCACTTTAGTAGACATAGTTGGGCTCCCAAGTTGAACTCATTACAGTGAACAGATTGTGCTTCTAATATTTGTGCCTGTTAGGTGGAACGTGGTGTTTTCCAGTTGGGAAAGA